AAAAAAAATGAAAATTTTGCAGGAACAGTTTTGTCTAATATTTCAAAAACAGCAAAAAAGGCACAAAACCTGAGGCGATGGTGGAAAAGAAGATGACATTTGTGGTGGCTCAGGGTGGATCGGCGCATCCGGTGTCATTTCTGCTGCTTCGGTCATTGTTTCTTTATGTTTCACGTTTGCCTTCGCATCCTGCAACCGCTTCAGTGCCACTTTAACTTTCATCATTTCAGCACGTGCATCTACTGCTTCTTGGATCAACTGCCGTACACGAATCTGAAAATATTCGACGAACAGTGAAATATAATGCTCAAGCTTATTTACTATCTTGCATTCGTGATCACAAAATGCTTACTACGAAAGTACAATTACTTTTAGATCTTCAGTTACTCCTCTTCCGCTCTTATCCATGCGCAGAGCTTCGTCAACGTTTACGACTAAAGGATGAAATGCAGACTGCTTAGCCCTATGGCTTCTAAATCTGCAGCTTGTAATTCCTCAGCCTTTCATCTTAATATTTCAGCTAATCGCAGTGAATACCAACAGTCTCACGTTGTTACTGATAAGTTCTCATTCGCTTATCTCAGCTACAGCAGGCTTTTCGGTTGCGAACTGCATATTTCCAGTAACTACCGCCTGTTTCAAGTGCTTGTGCCGACTCCAGAAAGGCCGCTTTATCCTCTAGTGGATCTCAATCATCGATTCACTACATACATTAGCAGGAGCAAAGTTAGTCATCCCTGCCCACTTCCTCTGCGTGGTCGCAATGATATTTTGCATACTACTCATTTAACGAGTGATTTGTTCGCACGTATGGTCATGGTAGGATATCACAAAGTTTTTCTCTGCTGCATGCACCACTAGCTCTTTGTCTTTCATCAGAAGCAACATTTCGCATTAGTGAAAGTGGAAAGAAGAGCGTACCATTTCTGGTTCAACACTTTCAGGATGCCAGTGACGCAGTGCTGGTGGTGGAAAAAGTTTTGCAGTTTGTTAACTACTCTTCCTTTCTTATTCTCCACGCTATCTCCAGAACTAATTCGTCATTCATCTTCATTTTGCGCACACAAAAAATATTATGCCAAGCTGATGGAATTATGCATCATTTGTTCACTTGCTTCTTGTACGGATTTGAAGTTCGATTTTCTTTTCATTATGCGTTTTTGCCTATATGCAAATTGCAAAAACGCATATTGGGACGACCCTGTCTGTG